CCGGGCGCGCACCGATGCACCGCTTCTCTGGCCATGCTGAGGCCGCGTCCCACATACAGCAACTAGAAGGATGTGCAGCTATGACATACAACTATATACTGGGGCTTTGAGGGAAAAAAAATTAGTTTTTCAGTGATGCTAGCCACATTTCCAGTGCTCAATGTGGCTAGTGACTACTGTATTGGACAGCACAATGGACATTTCCATTACTGCAGAAAGTTCTATCAGACAGCCCTGCCTAGAGCATCAGGGGCTTTCTTATTTACAACACTCAGCTCTGACTAGTATTTCAGTGAGTGTTCACAGTCATTCTATCAACACCAACGAATAGAATCCTACTGTATTTTGTGCCCCAGACAAAGCTCTGAGGTTGAAGATGAAGAAGATATGGGAAAAGAAGAAATGATAATCCTTGTTATTCAGATATCTTTCAATCCATATCAAAAAACAGATGAAGGATGAATGCCATGGAGAGAGCGTATGAGGGGTATTGGGAGTGAACTCACATTGTAAAAATACTATCAGACCAATGGGGGAGACTAAAGTCAGATGAAACTAGGTGCCAAGGAGTCATTAAGTCTCTATTTGGATTTTGACAAGAGAACGAGAACGGATGCATGAGAAGAGAGGGAAGGAAGGTAACTCAAGTGGCGAAACAGTTTATTCAGAAACTCAAAAAGTTGTATACATTGGGGGTGCCTGAAGGAAAACAGAAACTATGCTGAACTGTAGAAGAAACGGGGTAGTGGAGGAAGAGTGCTTGGGTGGACAAATGGAAGAAGAACTAAAGAATCAACCCAATTTGGAAGCCTTAATTTTGCACTGACTTACCACTGAGGGTCATTCAGACACTGAGCTAACCAGTGGGGATATAAATAGTAACGGGATCCTGATGCTGTCCTCAAGGAGCTCCTAGTATAAATAGCCATAACCAACTACCAGGCTGTCAGGATCAAAGACAGGTGATAAAAATAGGTTTTACAAAATATGTTCTTGCTCAATAAATATGTAAACTAAACACCATATTTGCAATATACAACACATATATCTCACCAAAAAAATGCATATTCGAAAATTACTATACAGTTAGGTGCCTGAACTGTGGGTGGAAGCTCAAATGAGGTAAACACATGAGGGTCCCGGAATGAGCTGTGATGGGGCAGAACAGACACCCAAGTGCTTCATCCTATAAGTGTTTTCACTGTCTTTATTCATTTTTAAGCAAAATTAATATGCCAGAGGCTACAAAGCACAGTTTGGGTTTAACATTTTATAGTTTTAAAATTTATTAATTACATGAGCCCTGGCTCAAAGGCAACAGAGTACTGCTCAACATTAAGTTCAAGGTTAATGTTAGACGCTTCATTAAGGAACATGAAAATGTGTTATAGGGTTTCAGCCTGAGCTGAAAAGAATTCACTGGCTTTCACGGGTGGTGATCAGGTTTCAGGCTTTGGGAAGACTACTCAGATTTGAGGATGAAGATTAAAACCTTTATGATACCACCTTTTATGGTTTTTCTTGGTGTTGCATAACCATGACTTTCATTGAAATTCCTCTTTTTATTGGAATTCACTGACATTTCTTTCCTGCTGATTGCTGTGTACCAATACTAAATAAAATATTTATCTTTAAACATACATGAGCATATTCAAATTCTTTCAGATATGTTATTTTGCTATGTGCTTTGTATCAGTTGTTTTTGGGGGTTTTTTTGGTGAGGAAGATTAGCCCTGAGCTAACATCCATTGCCAATCTTCCTCATTTTGCTGAGGAAGATTGGCCCTGGGCTAACATCTGTGCCCATCTTCCTCTACTTTATATGTGGTATGCCTGCCACAGCATGGCTTGATAAGCGGTGTGTAGGTCCGCGACTGGGATCCGAACCTGTGAACCCCAGGCCACCAGAAGCAGAGCGTGCGAACTTAACCACTACACTGCCAGGCTGGCCCCGTATCAGCTTTTATTGAAATAACTGTCCACTTGTACTATGGCTATCTTTATAGAAAAACACTCAAATGTATTCTATTTTGATGGTGTTGGTTTTTTAAAATGTATTTGCTTTAGATGTATATACTGAGGGAATTTAGGCACATTAATCATTTCCCAGTAAATTTCTTGTGTTTTATTGCCTGCCATGAACACTGGTGCCAGCATATTTCTTTTTAGCTACTTTCTTCAGCGTTATCAGAATATTTCGGCATATTCAGAATGGATGGTTTCCTACAAGATTCTAATACATCATACACCACATTTACATGATAAAATATTTGCTTATAGTTTAAAATCACTTAAAATTTATGTGTAAAGGAAAGTGTTTAATTAATTTTCCAAATCATTTTCCTGTAGAGTTGAAATGTGTCAAACTCTTAGCTATTTTTTATGCTACTATAACAGTACCTATCAAATTAGCAAAGATTAAAAATACCAGTACTACTTAGTATTGGCAAGGGCATTCTCATGCACTGTTGGTAGGAATGTAGATTGGCACACTTTGTCTACAAGGCAGTTAAGAACTAAGCAGTATGCATGGTAAACCTTAAAGATGAGAAAAATCTTTGACTTAGCAATTTTACGTACAAGAATTCAACTTAGTTATGATATTCATCTCAATGCAATTGATAATTGCAAAAAAATTGAAATAATATGATTGTTAATAATAGGAGACTAATTGAATAAATTATGGCATATCCACGTAATGAATTCCATGTAGCCATTAAAAAGGGTAGTTAGAAACGGATTTGGTGACGTAGAAAAGTGGTCCTGATACAAACATATCTCTAGAATACTAGCATTTGTTTTAAATGTTATATATGTGTGTGTATAAATACAGAAAAAATTTAGAAGAATGGGTATTAACAGTGGTTTGTGTTAAGAAGGTATTTTTCTTTTACTCTTGCCTGAATTTTCTATTTTTATATAATAAACATGTACTGCTTTTATGGTTAAAACATTTTTTTTTTTAACGGCTACAGAAGCCTCTCTTGGCTGTCCCACTTCTGGGCACTTGAACTTTGAACCACTCTAGCAAGAATGGCCCATGATGGGGTGAATCTGATGACTGCCTTCCCTCCCAAACCTAGTCCACCTGGCTCAGCTGTCCCCTACCACACGAGCAAGGATCCTGCTCACCAAGCTGTCCCGGATGCACGGGGTCTCCACAAGCCTCCGGACTCCATTCTCCACGGTGACTCCCAGCCAGTTGAGTGCTGCCCAGCACCAGAGGTAGTCGTACCCACCATGCCAGTAGCTCACAAATGCAAACGTCAATGCAGTGGAAAACAGTGTCCCCAGCAGGCCATGCTGGGACCCACCCACTGGAATGTACACATACCTGGAGAAAGAAGAGGCTGTTAGGAGCCATGCACCATGCAGAGGGCTGTCCCCACAATACTACCTGCTCCTGGGCTTGATTCTCCTGCCACACATTGCTATTCACCGTGTGAAGACCCTTCCCAACTTCCAGGAGGCCACAGAGCACTCCTTGAATTCTCCATCTCACAAGGAGCTGGCAAAAACACAAGCCTCAGCTCTGCGGGCCTTTAGGTTAAATGAACACACAGGCTAAAGAGCTCTCATTACTAGAGCAAAATAGCACTTATAAGAGGCAGGGTGAGGAGTAATGAATTTAGAGTTTCTAAAAGGGATGCACCCAACCTGGGAAGCCCAATCACAGAATGGCAATTAACCTTCTGGCTATGTGGGGACACCAACCTTCAAGGGAGGTATATATTTTACAGCTCAAACTATTAAGTTTATGGTAAACCCAGTATTTAAGCACAATTGCTAAAATCAGGACCCTGAACGGCAGGAGCTGGCTGCAGAAGACGGGTGCCAAGGCTGGTTCCCCCAGCTTTCCAGGCAAGTTGCCCAGAAGCAGTAGTGAATTTGCAAGTGAAGAGAAGAGCTCGGTGCTCACAGGGCAGCCAAATTATCACCCAAACTGCAAAGCTACTCCCTGCATATGTTCTCTGCTGCTGAAACAGCTGTCCGACTACATATAAGCAGGACTGTGTTCTTCAATCAGTATTTTTCTACGAGAGTCAGACAAAACTCATCTTAGGTTGTTAGGATCTGGAGAGCTAGGAGCATACCCGTCTTGCAGCAGCCTTTTTAAGAAGCCCACAGGCCTTTGTTTATTGCTGGTCAGTGCTTCTTTGTCCAATCTTCTTCAAGGAAGGAAAAGTAAATGATCATTTCCTGAATACACAGTGTGTTCCAGGCACGGGACTAGACCCTTTACCTACATTACTTAGTTTGATTCTTTGAAACACCATATGGTTTACACCTGCTGTTCTAGCATGCCAACCAGTTTACAATTTGTCCTGTTTATATATTATTTTAATATCTTTCAGGAAATGTCTCTTTGAAAATCATTTTTGAATAGAAAAGTTTTATAAGCAAACCAAAGAAGAAAAATAAATGGACTCCTCAGTCCATGAATATTGCAAAAGACTAGCAATATAAGTATTTTTAAATGTCTTCCTTCACTCTCAAATGTTCTTCAATTTAGATAATAAATTATATGATCAGCTTGGGTAGCCCCATGTTACGAGTGAGAGAACTGAGGCTGAGAGTGAATTTGACCAAGGCACACACCTGGGAAGGAAGGGGAAGAGCCTAGATGCAAACTTGCATCTATGACACCAAAGTTAATGTTTTCCATTACACCCCTGGGTTTATTTTGAAAGCCCTTTATCTTATACATCACCTCTAACTTACCTGGTTTCTGAAACAAACCAGAAAGCATATGAGAATGCAGCCATTTCAGAAATAAGTGAAGCAAAGAAAACACTTCCTCTTGCGCAAAAACAAGACCATCTTGACAATCAAATATGTATCAAGCAAATACATATCAAGCACTCACTACAGATTAAGGGATCCTCCATCTGCTGTCAAGCATTTATTTAAGCCTCCAGGGCAGTACTGGCATTATGGGAAACACAGACATAAGATACTTTCTGCCAAAATGACAAGTAGAGCTGATTACGAAACAATAGCCAACAAGCCCTATCATTAAGCTACATGATATGGTACAAAGTAGACCAGGAGGGTTTGAGAGTATGGAGGAGAAGGGGGTGAGTGGAGGCAAGTGGGGTAGGGTATGGGAGGCTTAACAGCAAAGGTCTCCACCTTGGCAAGACCTAGAAGATGAATTTTACTGGGCAAAGGAGAGAAGGGTGGGTGCTGCATCATGGTCCTAGAAGGGCTGAGCAATGAGCCAGAAAAGCCTGACAGCCCCTAGGCAGTGGTTTTATTTGGTGTTCTGCTGCCTCCTAGAGGCTGCTTGGTTATTGGTGTAGAATACTCCTCAGCAGAGGCAAAAAATGGGCCATAATTCTCTGCAGCCTCCTACCTGCATGGAGGTAACCACTGCCCCATCATGGCGTTCCATGAGGCTGCTCTTCACTTCATACAATCAGTGTTGGGTGTAAGAAGGTTGCATGTAAAAAAACACAGGGTGGTCAAACCAATTTCAAAAGTGTGAAGAATGATGGCTGTTTGCAGAAACTTCCCAGATAATTATTTTATAAAACAAGTTAATACTAATTTCTTCTCACCCAACATAGCTGTTTCATGTTGAGATTTTTATTGTATCTCACTATATTAAAGTAAGCTTCAGTGTATATGTCAAAAAGACCAGTGTAGAATAAAACCTCTCATCATCCACACCAATGGTCCTTAGTATTGGATTCAATTCCAAAAAGGACGTGTTTTCAAGCGTGTGACGAGGAGGCATCTAGCCCCATAATTAAGTGCACAGCTATTTTAGGCGTCTTTTGGCACTATGGCTTATGTTACTCTGCCTTCGAAATGATAGCTGACAAAAATCTCTGAGAACTCCTTTTATTCCAGAATTCATATGTGGCAAGTCTCCAAGGACACGAGGACGCTTGTTTTAAATCGGAAGAGGGTATAGTTTCCAGATCAGAAGATAAAAATCCCTTCTCACTCTTAATTTCCAGAAGGCAGTTAAGTACAGCAAGAAAGCAAGTGAACAGGTTATTTTCTCTTACAAATTTTACCAGTCTTATGTCAGTTCCACAATTAATAAAAACAGAAATATATCTCTCTTTTAGAAAAGCAGTAGCATGACCTCACTTACTGAGATCTGCTACACAGTGAATTTGATTTCCAAACGGAAGGAAGCATTCAGCATCACCTTCTCAGCAAACAAAAATAAAAAGATTTCTTCCTGTCAGTGACTGTGTGAGCTTGCGTCTGCTCAAGGCCTTCCCCTGCCAGGTCAGCTTCGTGTGGTCACTGCTAGCAGAGAATGCTGCTTGAGGAAGTTAGCATCCATCTGCAGCCACCTTCTTAATTTAAAACCACCTCATGGAATCAATGCAACATAGCAAACCCCCAACTCAGGAGGAGGAACCTATATAAAATACAGATGTTATTAATAACGTCTACCCTTTACTGAATGTGCATGAGCCAGGTGCTTTATGTATACAATTTCTAATCATTAAAACAACCTAATGACTAGGCCTATTTTACACAGGAGAGGTAAAATCTGAATCTAGAATGTTCTGGTTTCAGAACTCCCAGGCCTGTGTTCTATTACACCATTTATCATAATGGGAGCATTTCTTGGTGATATGTTCCTCTCATTTAACCAAATCTTCAAAGCAGTCTCCACAGAAACATCTACTAGTATTTCATTAACTGAAGAAATGCCCTTTGTAGGAAAGGAGCCTTGCTTGGGAGAAGATGCTCATTATTTACAAAGGAGTCTGGGCCAAGGAGCTTTGTGCCAGAAGGCCAGAGGTATAAGTTCAATTTTTAAACAGACTAGTTTCCTTCTGTCCCACAAGGAGAGATTACACCTGCTGTCTTGACCAGGCTGGCATCCTGCAGACACCTGACTATATAAGAAATGGGTGATAAGAAATTGATGGTTGGGGGTTGTTGCTGAGTAGGTGTATGTGAAGGGAGAACAAAATATCTATTTCCCTCCCTCATACCTGCTATGAAAAACAACTCAAGAATATGCCCTACAGGGGTGATGAGAAACCATGTGGTAAATACATTAATCTTAAAACCATAGTGCTCCCTTTTTCCAGGACCTACACAATAGCTCCCTGGCTTGTGACATTATCTTCAAATTCTTTGTCAGGACTAATCCCTCTTATCCCTACAAGGTAAGAGGATGAGGCCTAAGACAGTGAGAGACTTGGTTTTTACCATCCCATGGATTGAGTAGAGGTGTGCTTGCAGGTTCCCAGTCTTTAATTACCTATTGCTTGGCAAAGCTGTTGCAGGCAGTGGCTGACATCCTATTCCAGCTCTGCCTCCTCTTGCCACCCTTACTTGCCACTAGTTCTCTTGACAAATCCTAAAATCCTGAACTAACAGGGCTTTCATACCTCCATGCCTTAAGTCATACCCTTTTCACACCCTTTATCCTCTCCGATTTTCCAACTCCTATTCATTCTACAAAATCCAGTGAATTTTCCACCTCCTCCAGGAAGTCTCTTTTGAATAGTCCAACTCTCTACTTAAGCCAGAGAACCTACTGTTTGTATTACTCCTTGAATAATATTCACCAAAGGATGTCTTTTCTATTATGGTTGTAATTTTAACTAAATTGTTCAATTCTTTCAGGCAGTACTAGATATGTGAGTGATGTGATGTGTGTATGTGTGTGCATGTCTGCACGCACATGTGTTGTCATATATTTACCAGTGTGGGAGATCAAAATTGGCCACTCTGAAATATATCTCTTTACCTTGATTATTTTCTCTGACGGACATTTGACCTCCCCCAAACTGCCTACAGAATTTAACATAGAAGACCTGTTCCAGGAAGGAGTTACTATCATATGATGGCTGCAATATAATGCAAAATATATGTTACGATAGGAAAGGCACTAAGCCCCTCTTATCAAAAATTCTGTCTCTTCCCGGCCACATTCTCTAGGTGGCCCTGCAAGGAGCTGCCAGACAAACATTTACATCTATAAGGGAAATCTCCATTTGTAAAGGTATTGCCCTTTTTGTATTGGGAAGAGCGGGGAAGATGATCTTATCTGTAGAAACTCTTATCAGTACAGAAGGAGAGGACTTAAATATGCATACCCTTGATTACTGTAATTTGTCTCCCTTCTGTCTCCCTTCCCACCCCCAACATTCTCCTTTGTCTTTAGCTGAAGATGGTATTTAAAATGAGAATCACTGCTATTGTGTTGAGAAACTCAGTTTCCCTGGTTACTCCCATGTATATGTGTTATTAAACTTGGTATTATTTTCTCCTGCTAACCTGTCTTTTTAATTATTTGGCCAGCCATAAGAACCTTACGGGAAAGGGTGGAGGGGGATTCTCCCTCTTCCC